TCATTTATCCCAAATGCTTACAGACCATGTTATTTTATGAGACAGAGAAAGTGACCTAGCATTCACCTTACTTTGTCTTAACATTGTCTTTACATGGATTAACAAAGAAACTTGCAGAAATATTTATGACGGTTCCAATTAATCAAAACTGTCATCTTGAACATATGTTTAGTACCTATATAATTAAAAGGTAAATTACCTCTGTTTTTAAACCTTTTAAAAATCTTCATTCTTTACTATTTCTTTAACTCATTAGAATTCTGAGAAACTTAATACTCAGACCCTATAGAACTTATAATCACAAAAAACCCTCAAAAGACCTCAAAACCTCAAAAAGTACAAGCAGGTCTAGGAGTAACCCTCTAAAGAGTTTAAATCTGGTCTGTTACAGTTCAAAACAACCTACCATTATGGTGTGTAGCTTTTCTTATTTTCTAGGGAGTTGAAGAATGGAAAAGTACTTGGAAAAGTTTTTCTAGATTGTTCATGACTCCATAGTCTACTCCAAGGTGCCTTTATATTAAAGTTATACTTAATCTTCTGTTTTCCTTTTCTGATTGCATTGACATGTCATTAAAATTTTTACAAAACATAAATAATTCAAATATCATGTAGTGCAAATGACTTCAATTATTGTCAATAAATCGATCTGACGGTAAAAGCAAAGTAAATATAGCAGCTGTCCTATTTAAATATAACTATTTTATCATTGATTTCTAACTTTTTTCAAAACACCTAACCAATCAATACAAATCTTTTAAATCCTAAACTACTGGGTTTTGACAGAAATTTGGTATTAAAAACCAGACATTATCCTTATAGTATTAGAAAAACAGGCATGAAATTCAACACCTCCCAAATCCAACTATTTAATTAACTTGACCTGCATGCAAGCAAATTAAAAATTCTACAGGTTCTGTTATCTGTGATATCAAATTAGCTCATACTGATAAAAATTATATGACAATTTACCTTCAAATGTACCCATTTTATCCATGAATTCTGTTACCATGTTTTAATAGTCCTAGATTATATGGAAATTTTGATAGAAAATGCCACCATTGCCTGATGAGTTGTACATTTTCAAACTGATGGATTTCTCACTTGTAAGAAGACGGCTGACCTTAACCTAATGTGTCTCGACAAATTAAACTAGGGTAAAATAGTCCTGATAAAAACAAACACTGTGTGTGCATGGTGGGTGTGATTAGAAACTGATAATTTTGTTGTTATAAATATAAAGTAAACAAGAGTCCATGCATCCATTCTGTGAAATGTAAACAGGATATCAATATTTCTGTAAGCCGATAACAAGATACCAACTGTTATTGTGAACTAGAAACTTAACTTATAGGTCTTTTATTCTTATTTATATACATATAAAATCTATGTTTTTGTATTTTTTGTCCCACATAATATTTATCAAAATTGATATTTCTATATGTTATTTACATCAGTTTGAAAGAATGATTACATATAGCAAAAAGAAAAAAAAAAGTTTAAAAGAACACATTGATGTACATATCTACGTCATTTGGTCTCTGGTTGATATTTGTCTTATTTGCAATCATACCACATCTCCTTAATTTATTATGATACTCCATAACATACTCAACTATGATAAGGGGATAGATTAGGGGATTAGAAGATGGGCCATGTTTAAATTCTTGAAATTGAGATTGGTTGTGAAAATTACAAGTTTTAAATTCTTTTTATTCCTCCTTGAACTTTGCACGTGCATCTGTTTGACAGATTCTTGAAAATCATCTACCACTTCAGGTTTGGATCAATAATTTGACAAAGGAGGAAGGGCACCCACTGTTAAGACCACATAAGGAGTTAATCTTGTAAAGTGAAGATCCACAAGATCTGGGCCCCCTGTCCCTCACCTAAATCAACCTCTGCACTTCTAAGAAAAATTTCTGACAAGTATACAGTTTAGAATTTGTCCATGATTGTAAATCTTAATCTATTAAGGTCCGGTCAATTGTACTTTTATCTTTAAAAACAAGATCAGCTGTAGCTTATATATGTGAATTTTTTCATCGTCTAAATCTTATATAACGTATTATACATAAAACTTCTTCCTGTGTTGTATTTACAATATTTAACAGTGTTTATACAATACATGACGTACTGCATTAACCACAAACTGTATTATCATTTACAAGGAAAGAAACGTAACAAGGACATTTCAACCTAACAAGTCAAAAACAGGAAATACTCTCTATTTTGTCGTCAATATTTTCATTGTTACTACATGTACATGTTAAGATAACAGAGCTCTTTTCTTGAAATTTTTATATAATATAATTATAGAATATACTTGTCCTACACATAAAATCAAGGATCAAATTGCCAAAAGTCAGAGGCACATTCTGGGGGTGGGGTGGGGTGGGGGTGGGGTGTGGATGGGGTCACCAGCCCCCTTTATAAAGATACATAAAAGGTTAATGCTTAGACTTTAAAAGTCACACTCCTAACATTGTCTTATATGTGCCCTCTTTCAAAATCCTAGAACTGCATTTGAAAGTGACCACTTCTTTATCCTAGTTTTCACCTATGGGATAAGTTAACAATTCTACACCAGGCCAAATATTCTTGATAAACAATATGTACTTTAATGAAGCAGGATGTATACAAGTATATGGGGTTGACCCGAGTATTCTCTGTTGCTGCTGATTTTTTTCTCAAGTATAACTGTAGAAAAAAACTTTCAAAGTGTATATCAAGCTTAAGGTTATAGTGAATTTTAAAGGGACATGTTGTAATCTTTTTATTAATTTGTTTTACCTGATCGATGAGAGGACTATATTACGCAGGATAAATTTAACCCTACACCTATATTTAAACCTAAACATATGACTCACACAATAGAATTCATGGCTTATAATAATTACGATAATATTTAATAAATAAATACCAAAGAATGAATCAAAATCTGTTTTGATACAAAATATATAATTTAATTGTCTGAGGATCAATCAAATGAAATTAGATAAGTTGTACTAGGTAATCTACGACCTTTGACATAAGATATCATTTACAAGTCATAGTCATTCAATCATACAAGAACTTACGAGAATCCTTTACAAATTAAACAAAATAAAGGACAACATCTATTATGTTACTATTCCATAAAAATATATTTGCAATACTAATAGCTCTGAAGAAAAAGGATTTTGATATTTCAAAAGACAGAAACAACTGTGAATATTGAAGTGTTAATAAATAACAAAGGTACTTACAAATGATATCCCAATATAACTAAAAGCAGGTGCAGATCGAGGATTTGTGGAAAGGGGGGGGGGAGTTTACTAATGATATCCAAATATATTAATATAACCATAAGCAAGTGCAGACCCAGGATTTTTGAAAAGGGGGGATAGTTTACTATTGATATCCATAAGCAAGTGCAGATCCAGGATTTTTGAAAGGGGGGGGAGAGTTTACTAATGATATCCAAATATAACCATAAGCACGTGCAGATCCAGGATTTTTGAAGGGGGAAAGAGAAATTTCTAGATGGAAGGGATTTTTTTTTTCAAATATGCTTAAAATTCATATAAATCAAAGGAGTGTGCAGCCTCTATACCTCCCCACTGGATAAGAATACAACAAATGATACAATAATTTTCAGTGTTCCAGTCCATTTTAACTTGTATATAGCCATCTACACATACATCAATAAAATACTTGAAAAGTAGAGTGGTTTGTTATAAGTGTACTTAATTGTAAGTCCAAATCCATCAAAAGTCTCATGACCTGACATATTACGGCCAACTTTGTTGACAAAGTACCATAATAGTCACCTGGTTAGAAAATGGTATACTAATTTCTACTCATTGGAATGTAATAACAGTACTTTGAGATGCATGATAATTGATAACATGCCATTGTTGTCATAAAAAGAGAATTTAAAAATCTCTCCTAAAATATCTGTACAACAGAGTAGATGGACAAGTCAAACAAAGCAAATGGCACTCTTCAAACTCTTCCCCTTTAACTCCATTTGATATTTATCAGGTGAAAAATTTGAAGATTTGAAGGATCATCAAGAAGTTTTGACATCAGATTATCCAAATCTTTCCAGATATTAAAAGAGCCAACCCCCCCCCCCCCCCCCCCCCCCCCCCCCCACAGCCCCTCAATGTCTCTAACATTACCTTACAATTTTTTCACATATAAAAATAACTTTTTAGTTAACCTCAACCGTTTCACATATCATCCAAAAAAATTACGTAAAGACAAAATTTTCCCTAAACGATCCTCTATAATAACTTTTCACCTGCTGACCAGGTAGATATAAGTAAAATTGAAGGTATTATTGTCATTGAAAAGATAACCTGTCTTGATGCCAAATATTAAATGTACATCTTATTGTTTGTATATAAACATTGTTGATCCAACCCACTGTCATCTAAAGAAAGGACCTAATGTAGCTAAGAAACCAAACAAATATGGTATTAGCATTAGAAAAAAATCAAAGTCCTTTTCCAATCTGTCAAGATTATCTAATGTACTTTTGTCATATTGTTGACCTTGTATAAACCTTGGGTAACTTTCATAAATATATTTCTCAATGTCAAAATATAGAAATAAAGAAATAAGTCTGAAACAAAATCTTGACTTTTACTCTGTTCTGATTCGGAGTTAGTAAAAGTTAATTGATATGGATATTATTTTTATACATAACATTTCATTGACTCATTTCACAAAAAATCTTACGAGAAAAAATGCTTGTATGTCATCAACATTTCAGTTAACTTATGGTCAACTTTTGTCATAAAATGTTTTTGTGACCTGTGGCGTAGGAATGCACAGAAAGGTGGGTCAAATTTCAGAGAGTGATAAGCAAAAAAATAAATTCCTACTGTCATATACCCTTACATCCCTAACCCCATCAAAGCCTACACCAGTGCATTTGTTTTTTTTAGCTTTGATTGATTTCTTTGTCTATCCAATTTAATTCAAAGAAAGGGAGATAATCCATGACTTACATGCTGAGTGTTGTTTCTCCTTTAACATTCTGTGATCTCCTCCTTCTCTTGGTGGAAGCTGTAAAATATAACACAAAGTCAATAATAATAGTTATTGATGAAAGCATTTCCCTTGTAAAAATATTCCAAACTGCTTGCAAAAATACTAGCAAAAAAAGTAGCAGTTTTAAAGCTGTCAAAGAAGGCGGCTACTAGCATGTTTATTTCAAATGAAAAGCAGCTTTGGTGACAGTATAGTGGGTAAACAGCTGTTTTGACTGCCCTAAGTACTGAAAATGAAGGCAAAAGTATACATGTATTTGCCATTACTCTCTTAAAACTTAAACATTTTACCTCTGATTCATCATGCTCATTTTTCTGCTCAATTTGTTTGTTTTCCTGAATCAGTACAATTTCCGGTTCATTATTTACATTATTTGTCTCATTAATTTCAATTTGTAGCTCATTTGGTACTACTATGTGGCTATTTTGCTCACTTTCCTTCAATAGTTCAATGTCTCCAATGTCTTCATCAGAACTACTGGTGGTCAAATTCTTATCAACCATATTTGCATTCAGATCGGATAACAATTCTTCCATCAAGGCAAACAATTTTTTTTAATACTGCATAAAAATTTAGTGAATCACTTTTTAATTCTGATACTGACTAACAACCCTATTAAGGAATTTCTAAGGAAAAAAAAACTTTTTAATTGCAGTCTGAATGCCTAAGAAGGCTTCAATTAATATGATCAATTACATGAACTTGCAGTTTGACAAATTTCCTTGTCTATAAAATTGTCTCATCACCACAAATTAGAGAATCCTAATGCAATGTTGTCATGTAATTATCCCAAAACCTTTTGATGTTTGCAGATTATTAAGTGAAGCTGTCCATCCAGGCTTTCTTCTCAAAACCAGAATTAGAGATCAAAGAAATTTGTAAATCCAATTTTTTATTTTCTGTCACATTAATATGCAACTAATATCCACATCCAGTTACCAAGGGAATGCAATTTCACCTTTTTTTGTTTAGAAAGTGCCAAAATCACACATCTGCATTTATAACGGAAATTAACTGCAAATTAACAGTGACACATAAAAATCCTATGACTGTAGTCTCCAAAGATCTTTAGATTCACTTTAAAACAATCTAAAGAATCATTTAACATCAATTAAAACCTTGAATTTCCTTTAAAAATTGTGCATGGTAAATCCAGTCAAACAGCAGTTCTATCGAAGAAATTCACTGATAAAAGTATAACATATAAAAAAATAATCCAAAATCAATCCTTCTGTAGCACACCTATGTCTAGCTATCACATTTGTCAAATATTTCATTCATACTCAATATAAATTTATCATTTGTCCACATCCTAAGGGGCTTTAACAGTTCATTTCATTCAAACTTGACAGGTTATTGATCAGTTATGCCCAGAGGTGCTGACCATTATTTCTACTTATGTAATATTAGGTCATTGTAGGTCATGAAATCAAAATTAAATGGTGGAAAGAGAAAAGACTGATCAAAATGTAAAATCTTAATGTGGACTTAGATAATGATATAATTATAGATTAATTTCATTTTCTTAAGCTCTCCACATACAGTTGTGTTGATAAAAGCAATTTAAGAAGTGTCATGTTTCACACAGTTATCTGTGGACTGAATTTATAAAATCATCATTTACTGTGAGAAAGTTTAAGCAAATAAGGAAACATCCCCCCCCCCCCAAAAAAAAAAGGATTTGTGGATGGGAGAGGGTACTGAATAATTGACTAGAAGCAGTTTTGATATTTACACTAGATTCTTCTTTTGACACCTACACTCTTGTCCATCTATGCTTACTTAATCAACAGAAAGAGGAAAAGAAATACCAAGGCCTCCACAATAACTTTTTTTTTCAACTTGCCCAATAGGACAAGGACATACCAAAACTTACTTGTCTGAATGTAATTGTAACTTTTCCAAAAAAAAAACCAACCTTTATATAAACCATTTTTGCATTTTAGGTTGATTCAATGAACAAAATGAATTAAATCAATAGAACAGAATTTGATTTATATCTCTTGATATCCTTTTCAAAATTATGAGTGGAGAACAATTGAATCTAGTCAGGTCTAGTCACAGGACTTAGGTTCTAGTTTTCATCAATGCCATAGTCTCATCAGTGTGCACATCAGGCGCAGTCTGGTAGGCCTGTCAGTCTACACTCATTTGGTTTACATCCTGGTCTTTTATGTTGATAAAATATTGATTATTATGACTTATGCCTTAATACAATCAGCTTTGTTTTTAATATAGTAAAATGTTTATTCAAACACAATCAAATATTGTTTGTCTAAATATGATCATATATGATTTTCTCAATTCTATGGTCAATCCAACAGTGCTGAAACTGTCTATTAAACATGGAGTGATTCTTTTCCATGTCAGTGCCGAACCTTATATACAAAGCTCACAGATGATCTCAATTGGTAAGACTGGTTTCCCAGAATAGTATGCATTTCATCTGTTATAAAGTATCTGACAAAGAACCAGTTTTAAATTATCAATCGCAAGTAAAAATGTCAAATTAATATTTTTTTTTATCTTCTTTTATTGTTTTTTGTTTGTTACTTTGATCATCAAAGTTGGATTTAATTTATTTTCTACAGAATGATTTAATTTGTCCCGTCGGACAAACTTGATATGGCTTTTACTTGTCGGACATTTTTTCTCCCCTGGTACCAGACAATCGGACAGGCATTATTGTCGAGCCCTGTTACCTTCCTGTTCTTGCTAAAAGTTACAATAAAACAGTTAATAACATGGGCACATTCGTTTAAGGAAGACAACATGCTATTCAGAATAAAGAGTGAGACTAATCCTGATTGGTTGTTGTGTACACCTGATATTCATTCATTAACAGACACCTTGTGGACTCTTCCGTATACCAAAGGCAAAATATTATATTTTTCTTTGTCCTCAAGGAAAATATATGTCATTAATAATCCGTGATGAAATTTGTATATTTAAGTGCAGAAAATATTGCATAAAGAAATGCAACAGGAATGCACATTTATGTAACTAAACAATCTTGGCTGAATATTTTTTTTTTTATTTATTATATTTATAGATGCAACCTTCAGAAAGTTGAATATCAGAATAGTTTTAGTAATACCATTCTAATAATTAACTCTCTGAAGTCTGTATTTAAAAAATGCAACCATTTTATCACCTATGGAAAAACAATATTTTTTGGCAATCTAAACTTTGTTATAAATTGATGGTTAGTCCTAGATATTGTCTTTTTTTTTTTAAAGCTTGAGTTATTCCCCTTACAATTTAACTGTTGTGGGTAAATAAAATTAGACAATCATTCAAATAATCTGATTATGATAAAGCATAATTAGGTATTAATGTGTTTGGTCAGTCACAACAATCTGTTAAATAATTAGCCCTGTCCACTTCTAGTAACATCTGCTGTCAAAACTAGCCATGTCAAAATTTAAATTTGTCAAAATGGCATGTGGTCACTAGATAATTAAACATTCAGCTCACCTGATGAGTATAAGTTATATGTATATTTTATTTGTTACAATAATTGCAGAATTATATTTTCAGACTAATAAGCTCTTATAACCCCTAGAAGTTATATGTATGTTTATTTGTTATAATAATTGCAGAATTAAATTGTAAGAATTATAAGCTCTTAGAACCTTTTTCCTTCTATAAAATGACGACCTCTTTGGTTGTTTGTTTTTCTAAAATACAAGAATATCTTTCTCACAATTTACATCATTTAAAAAATCATTCAGATTCACAGAATATGTGAAAAAAAAATAACAAAGAGAAAAGCTGTTTCATGGGCTACATTTTTCAAACAAGACTTTTTTTTCACTTATTAAAGCTGATAGTTGGATTGTAAATTATTTTGGGCATGTTTCTATGAGATGAATTTAAAGCATCTAAATTAAATGGTTTACATGGTCTACTTTTTATTAAAAAAAAAACCCAAATCTTTATCACAGGTTTCAACAAAGTTATAATATTTCCCAGCAAAGTAAATTGACTACGTGTCAACATGTAAAAGTATTACTCTGAATTTGATGTGGAAGTTGATTAAATGTTATACATATTGAACTGCAACCTGAAATGTTTGCTGTTCAGAAAAAATCATTTCATAAAAGGACATTTCCATGCAACTGGGTTTACTTGTCAAGATGAAGAATGGAACAATTAGTAAAATTTAATGTTCTTGTTGATGGCATAATTAATTTTGCAAAGTGAACCTACTAATTTTGTGTACAAAACAAATATACTTAAACAAAAAGTTATGTTGCTGTACTAAGCATTTGGAATTAAATAAATGGGGAATGTGTCCATGGGACACAGATGATCCCCCCACTTGCATATAACGTTATAAAGGGACATAAACTCAATAACTGTAAAAGTGACACTACCCAAATTTGTACTTGATCTGAATTTTGTGGTAATAAGCATTGTTTATAAGTTTCATAACATTTAGTTGAGGCAAACTTAAGTTAGAGAACGGAAAATCTGTAAAGGTGCATAACTCTAGAATGGTAAAAGTGACGCCACCAAAATTCGAACTTGATCTGTGTTTTGTGGTAATTAGAAGACGGACAAGGGTAAAACTTAATGCCCCCTTTGCTATGGCGGGGGCATAAAAATAACAGGAAACTTGTGATAGGTATCTGACAGATCCAAAAACCATTGACACACTACCAAGTCATCAGACAAGCTCAATAACAGACATTGAGTTCAGTAGAACTCGAGAAATGTGTGATGAATATATTAAGTTTATTAAACATATTGAAAAATTCAAATTATCTGCAAATAGCAAAATGGTGAGTGGCAGAAAAAGAAAAGATCTCACACATTACAACTCAGACAGACAAGATAGTTCCAATTTGGTCTCAATTTCTACAGTGGAAGCATCATATAACCTTTTACTCTTTCACAAGTTACACTTTTCATCATGTTGAGTTCTACAATATAAAGTTTTCCATACCTTCATACTCTGTGTAGATAATGGTCCCCCAAGTCTGCCACAGGTAGTCACTTGTTCTTTGCAAGAACTTTCATGGACATTTATAAGGCAGTCTACAATTAAAGAAACAACAAATTTTAATGACTTTAGAAGAGAAATATCAAATAAATTGTAAAGTCGTACAATGGTTTAATAGTGCCATACTGTGTAGATGCTATACAGAAAATTAAATCAAATCAGATTTTCTATAAGCTATCACAATCAAAACTATCTTTTTTATTTTTATTTTACATGTATCTTTTACCAAAATGTTTATTTTAAGAAACAGTTGGAAAGAAAACTATAGTTTTACAATATCAAACACACCAGAGGTGAATTCATATCAAACATGGTTTACTTAATTTGGCTCTGTGGGTTTAGATGAAAAGACTTTTGATCTTTGCCAATTGTTGAAGACTGTGTAGTAATCTGAAAATGTGCAGATACAGTAAAACATGTTTTAACCAAACCCTACATAAACCAGAAATCAATCTTAATATTGTGCTATTTTTAATTCTATTAGGACACAGGATGAATACATGAACATTTACAACATCTTTCTAATCTATAAAATCATTAGTCCAAAAGACATTAGCTTTATGAGGTTTAACTGTAAACACATTTTCAATTTTATATTATTAGGTTGATAGTTTTCTCATGTCAATATTGTTTATTTTTTTCCCTTTTACTGAGGATTCATCATTATTCCTTGGATACCAGTTTTCATGGGTATGTGAACAACAAATTTAAATGTTCAACGATGTGTAAATTTTCTATAGGCTTGCATGCAGATTTGCAAGAAATCAAATCTCCACGAAAATACAATTTTTCATCAAACCACAAAAAATTGGTACCATGAAAATAAATGAATCCACAGTATGTGAAACCACTCTTTCTAATGACGATTACAGAAGACTTACTTTCACATCTAAGGGCTAACTTATTAGCCATTGATTTGTTACAAACAGCACATGGTGTAGAGTTGCTGACTGATACAGACACAAACTGGTGTGTATTCTTCCCTTTACCTTCTTTATCTTTATGCTGGAAAGAGAAAAAAAATGGGTTTAATTTGAATGCATTCTGGGTAATTTTTCAAAAGCATAAACCAAAAGGTTATATTTGGCTAAAATATCCACAACACTGGATATCAAAACCATAGCCTCACATTATATTTATGTAAGTGTTCAAACAATAAAATTTACCACAATCAGTCAAGTTCTAAAACGACAAATTGCAGACAAAAGAGTTCAAAAGCACTAACTATCAAAGTACAAAGTATTTTGCTGGCAAAATATATTCCAACATCTGTTATCTATAATTGAAATGTCTCATATTGTTATATCACTTACTATTAAAAGGTACCATCTGAATAGCCTTCACAGATGTTTTACAGTATGTATTAGCTTGGATATATACCTGTCTTTCTCACAGTTGAAAAATTAGGAGTTTATAACTCTAACAATTATGCGAAAAAAAAGTCACACCTATACAAGGTATTACAAAATATAAGACATAGACTGGATACAAGATATGTCAGAAACATGGAGGATACTAAGATATGCAAGGGTGCAACAGAACTTTTATTTATTTTAAATATTGACAGTGTCCTAAGCCAGGAACTTATCCCAAACTCTTCAAAGAAATCCAGGGGGGGTGGGGTGTGTAGTTCAAATGGCTGGACCTGCGTCTGCAATATAACTTTAAAATACTGTGAACCAACTGTTTTCTGGGAATATTTTTTTCTTAATTAGTGTTTCTAGCGACTTTGTGGTCCATCATTTATCACTGTTGTTGCATTATATAAGAGACGTAGATCTTCTCTCATAGCTGGACATATTCACATTATTTTTCTACTTGCAAAAAACATCGAAATAAATTCATTGTGAAAATTAGTTGGTTTACAGGAGTCTATATTGAAAACAAAATTGTACTTAATTAAATAAAGGAATCATTTCAAATTAATCTTCTCAAAGTTAATTTCAAAAACCTCATTAATTTTAAGACCTACACAAACTTTAATTAAGATTAATAACATTGAAAGAATAAATATTTTTATATTAAAGTCATATAATCCTGTACAACAATTATTAAGAAGAATGATAAACAACTTACTCTAGGAAGGGTTGCACTTTTCTGAAAGCGGTTTTGTAAAGAAACAATTACCATCATATTCCAATCGTAAATAATAAAATCAAAACATAAATAAATCCAAGAAGTAATTATATTATTATCACAAAGAGCAAAACTGACTTAAAGCTAAAAAGTTCCCATTCTGATGGAAGCACAAAAAAGCTAATTTGAGAACAACATCATCATTAGTAGTAAAAAAGTCTGCAATCTTTTGTTGTACTATCCAATCATAAAGTCACAAGCCAATAAAATAATTACTATCTTACAATCAAACGCAGTAATTTCTGCATAAATTCTATTTCAAATCAGTCAATATATCAGAAAATTAAGAAATCCTCACTTATAGTCCACAAAATTAATTATCAAGTTAATACTTCTGAAGAAAAATTCAAATGTTATAGCCAGAGAATAATTTACACGAAAATGTATATTTCCATCTAGTCAGTTTCATTTCCTTGTCAGAAATACAAATGACAACAACGTTTTCATTTGAAACAGAGATCTGGCAACACAAACATCAGTTGCATCCTACTTTCACTTTGCTGCCAAGAAACGCTTGTACTTAAAACAAAGTCTCCACTGCACTCTACAAGTTCTCATTTACCCAAATTTTCTAGATACTTTGCCAGAAATATTTACAATTTTACAATAATTATGTGTGGGTTTTGTATAAGTTAAGATGGTTTGACTTTGGGGTGGATGGGTTTAATTAATCTGCTCTGTTGAGATATTCTGCTGAGGTCAGCCTTTTTTGTAAATATTGATAAAGTTGGTTACAATTTCCAGCATATTTTGATATTTTTATTATCATTTTTTTTTTCCAAATTGGAAAACAGAAAATGTGGTTTGTCCAGTACAAAACTTATCACAAATAATATTTTTTATTTAAAATTTTTTAAAAATCTGTGTATAATACTTTGAAGCATAGATTAAGAGAGATCATTAACAGGTGTGGATGTTTCAACATCTGATTTATCTTCTTGAAGAGTATTTTATGTTACTAAGGTTGTTCAAGTCAGCTACAATACAAAAACATACAGACAGACAAAATGACAAAAAAAGAAACCAAGTGGTAAATCACAAGACATTCTATGTATCAATATCATGTGACCTGGAAGTCTGCCAATGTGGTACAATTCAGTCCAAATTAATTTACACAAATCTATCAGACATCATCATAAACATGGTTTCAAAACTATAGCTTCAAATGAAAATTAAAATAAATTTTGTGAAATTCAAATATTTAGAAACTAGATTTGATAATTACAATACAAGAATATCCCATTCTGACAATCAATCTCAAAATCAGCAACCAGCTGATTTCCATGTACTACACGTAAACATAGAACCAAAGAGAGTGTCAAATGAAGCTCTCAAAGTGACCCAACTGTGTCATCATTGTTTGCCAACTTTTAATTACAGGTTAATAAAAAACATAATGTGTTTACCTGTTTATTAGATAACTATAGTGGTGACATATCATTAAAATATAACATGGGCGTCAAAGAAAAATTGGGCAAATACCAGGATATACAATTCTTTTTGCAATCATAAAGCGGCAGAAAGGCAACAACTTAGAATTTTTGCATAAATAAACCAAAGTCAAAAATGAAAATAAATTGGAAAAATAAAAAAATAAAAAGTTGCCAACCAACTGACCCTATTTTTCACTGATGTGACAGTAAATAAGACACATTTTGATTCATCATATTCATGTTTAAGCAAAAATACTACCTCTATCTTGTACATTAATTAATTTTCTATATACATATATCTGAAATTTTAGTATTTATCGGTACACAGAACAATACATTGGCATAAAACACAATGAATAAAAACCCTAAATGTATATGTACTGTACAAGTAAGTACATTAAATATTAGCAAATTCAATTGTACTTAGAACTTGCATTCATGCAGTTATATAATCTAAAGATTTTTCAGTACAGAATGGTTTAATGTTAAGATAGTGATTTTGAAAATTTGATATCCTAATATCTAGTTATCAACAGTGATTATTTCTTATCCTAAAACAGCAAAGCAGCATATAAATACACTATAAATATGCATAAAAATTATCATAACTTTTTGCAAGATTTCTCTTTTGAAAGTAGCAAGTCAAAGGCGTTACTTAAATTTCAAAAATCATGATCATAGATAGAAGGTTTTTGCATATTTCTTCTTCCGATTGTAAGACTATTGCCAAAAGTTTGATGAGAGTAAAAAGTGCACTATAATTCTTCATTCATAAATTACATTATTTTCAGATAACGGTGGTATTAGTATCTGGTAATTAGATAAAGTTAATTATAATAAAGTGCAGAAAACTAAAGACAAATATGATTTACTCTACTTAAAAATTTCTTTGTTTTTCTGTTTCTGACTTCTGAAAGGTATCTGTATAGAAATAAGGAGACGTGGTATGATTGCCAATGAGACAACTATCAATCAGAGTTCAGAGGATATAAGAACCCTACCCAAACACAATACTCTGACTAAGAGATCCCAAGGCTACAGTTTCACACAAACTCAAGATGTATTCATTATTCATTTTCAGATTGGGAAAAAAAGTGGATACAGATTTAGCAAAGATCAAGGGAGGTAAACAGCAAAATAGGTCACTTTAACTGTTAATCTAATTATGAAATAAATCATAAGAGTTACCTCTCCTTTTAAATTAAATTCTTTGAATTTTCAATAAATCAACCCCAAAGAATTTCTGTATAGGTAAGAAAACATACCATTAGATAGAAAAAAAAAATATAGATGCCTTCGTATAAATCAAAGTTTTGGAAAAAATAATAGCATTTGATTAATAAGTTTGCAACTATAAGTAAAATTCTGCATCCACATTAGAGCCATCAGAACTTTAAACATTCCACTTCTTTTAAAATTGTACTTTATACCGACCGTGCAAGGGCTGTATAGCCAGTCAAGGTCGTTAAAAACTTCCATTTGTTGTAAAAGTGTACAACATGTAATTGTGAAATTCAAAGGTGAACAAAACATTTCCCCATAATGTAAGGAGAATGACAACAATATGGTTAATTTTCAAATACAATAGAAACCAGAAATATTAAAATCATAAATTGTTAGAAATGTCTTCAGGCATGTGCTCTTTCAACATCTGAAATTAGTATGTATAAAATCAGTCTGCTATACTTTATACTCTGTGTTATCAGTTGAGTACAAATCGTTCAAGATGGAAGAATCAGTCAGTTATACTTTGTACTCTGTGTTATCAGTTGAGTACAAATTGTTCAAGATGGAAGAATCAGTTAGTTATACTTTATACTCGGTGTTATCAGTTGAGTACAAATTGTTCAAGATGGAAGAATCAGTCAGTTATACTTTGTACTCTGTGTTATCAGTTGAGTACAAATCGTTCAAGATGGAAGAATCAGTCAGTTATACTTTGTACTCTGTGTTATCAGTTGAGTACAAATTGTTCAAGATGGAAGAATCAGTCAGTTATACTTTGTACTCTGTGTTATCAGTTGAGTATAAATGATTCAAGATGGAAGAATCAGTCAGTTATACCTTGTACTCTGTGTTATCAATTGAGTACAAATCATTCGAATGGAAGAATCAGTCAGTTATACTTTGTACTCTGGGATTTCAGACAAGTACAAATCGTTCAAGAAGTAAAAATCAGTTTGTTATATTTTGTACTCTGGGATTTCAGAGGAGTACAATTCATTCAAGATGGAGTGGAGATTTTAGATTTCATAAAAATGTACCTTTCTGATCCTATGTTTTTTACGTTTTTTAAAAATCTGAAAAGTAAGATTTGAATTTCAATTATTTCAATCAAAGCTGGCCAGTGGTGACTGATTATAAGACATTAAAGGAGGAAAACGGTATAAAACAAATATAATCCACAACCATCTATAGAGATCTTCACTGTCTTCT